AAAAAAAAACACTCACCAAATGAAAAAAATCTCTACCGAAAGACAAGGTCAACCAAGAAAGCACCAAGTTAGATACATCTGATGACAAAAATTAAAAATCAAACCAGTAAGGTATCTCAAATGGCATCATTCACACCATCCCCACAAGGTGTTGATCAGTTAAAAATCGAGTCTTTACACCTTTTTTTGCTCCTATCCCTCAACTACCCCCACCAAAGCTGTTACAAAAGAAAAAAGATAGAAACTAAAAGGATCAAACAAAATCCCCTAATTTTTCCAAACAATATATACTAATACAAAATGGTCAAAGATAGAACCTCAACAAACATAAACTAATGGGATACGAAAAAAGACTAATCCCCATTAAACCCACTATTTTAAATCACCTTACACGACTACGCGTCTGAACATAAGCACGTACGAGAATCCATACTTGGCGGTTGCTGCAGCTCAAGAAAATGGGTTTGAAAAAACTTGAGAGAGAAAGAGATGCGCAGAAGGCAAGAAACCCAGGTGTGGTTGACCGATTCGCCATTGTTGGATTAAGATAATTTAGGCGAGTATTATTATTATTATTATTGTTGTTAATTACGATGATGATTTGAGCAGCAGCCATCTTTTTCATCCTTCTTTTTGCGGTGATGTTTTTTCAACTGTAGAATATTGAATTTTGTATATAATAATGCCAATAGATGGATATAATCTCAGTGTAAACAGTGGCTTTGGAGGGATATTTTATTGTTTATTTTTAAAGGGATGTTTGATTTTGTTGACTTTGGAGGTTGAGTAGTTGTTGAACGGCTTTATTCTCTCTTTTTTTATTTACTAGTACAACCGTGTATTATACGGGTGTTTGTTAAAAAATTATTTTTAAATTATAAAATTAATGAGAGAACTAAATTAAATTTAGTTACAAAATAAAAAAATATTACTATATATTTTAGAATGAGATGTGTTACTTATAACTTACATGTGTTATATTATATTAGTTGTTATAACTTATATCATATAACTACTTGAAATATAAATAAATTAGTTGATAAATAATTTTATTAATTAATATTAAAAATAATTTTATTATTGTTATAAAGATAAATATAAATTATTCTTTTTATACATACAACATGGATGTTAAATCGAAGCTTATCAAAAGAAGATTAATTTGATATATTACATATGTAAAACTGATAAAAAATACAAAAGTTATTAACTTTTAAAATATATATACAATTCAATAGTTATAATAAGGAATGATATTAAAATACAATTAATACATTAACATGGACATAAATAATCAACATATTTATGGTAATCCGAACCTAATTATTTTTGGTTTGGAATTAAATTAAAATTTATCCAAAGCTGGGATTTTCTGGATGATACACTGCAAGATGCGGGCAACGGCTTTCGCGCTAGTTGCTCAATCCCTTGCTTGTTCAGTTCAGTCAAGGAACTAAAGGTCAGCTGACTCAAAGCAAGAGCAGCAAGACTGACTCCGTGCCCCAATCTTAGAATCCGAAATAAAGGCGGCACTGGATGCCTAATAACGAAGCATGTAATTTTGCCACATAGGATTTCGAAGCACCAAAAGCAGTCATGTAGGCTCAACGCATTATGTATTAATATATAGGGGGATAGGGGGATTTTTTATTTTTAATATTTTTATTCTTTTTGAATTGGGTTCTTTTTCTTTATACCGAGATTCCAAGCTTGTTTGACTAGTCTTCGAGGAAATAGTTCCGACCCCTCAAAAACTACCTCCAGTTAAATTCAATTGGGTTCTTTGTTTTCCTCTTACATGGACGCAATAAATAATTTGGTTAAATAATAATATCTTTTTGTTTTTAACAAACTAGTATGTAACCCGTGCGATGCACGGGCTAGTAAATGTTTGAAAAAATTTAAAAAATTAAAAGGTCATTTATTAATAAGTTGTTATAACACGTATGACATTTATAAAGTAAACATAAAATCGTCATTGACAAAAAATTATACATTATTAAAAACCTCCTGAGTGCGTATATATCGCCTTGCTTAAATACACCTCGAAGTGCACACATATACGCAGAACGTATAATGGCAGTTATTTGCGCACCCTACAATATAAAGTTATACAAAATTAGTTAAATTAAAAAATTACGTATGTTAGTAATACAGATATAACAAATCAAAATATTACCTCACGATTTTGAAAGACGATCTCAAAAAAATTATTGGATTCCACGTCAAATTTCATCTCAATAATTAGAATTGTT